ACAGCGATATATGTGCACCCATGTTCATAGCAGCGCAATTTGTAATTGCTAAATTGTGGAAGCAACCCAAATGTCCATCTACTGAGGAATGGATAAAAAAATTGTGGTATTTGTACACTTTCAAAGTAGCTCCTCCCCAGAGGAGCAAGGGTGAGGTCACTGCTTCCTCTTTTCAATGATGCAGGTATTTGGTTTGATCTACATGTATATCTTTCAGATTCATTTTCCATTTGAAGGTGTAAGTACTACCTCCGCTTCAGAGTACCTATATTTTCAGTTGTTGGTGTATAGTCAGCTTCTGTCTGGGGTGACTGGTCCTGAGAGTGAGGTGCCCGCGGATGAAAAGAAAAACAAGAGAGAGACAGTTACGAAATCAGGGGGAAGCCTCAATTACCATCCTCCTTAGCCTTCTATTGGGATACTAACAAAAGCAGCAACAGGTCAAATGGGAGAAATAATTAACACGATTGGCGAGGACAATACAACTCAGTTATCGCAGGAATGAGACTTGATTTAGTTAGCCATCCTGTTATCATTCCTTCCAGCATATCTCAACAAGGCGTCTAGTGTTGTCCCAGGGGCTTTCCAGAGGGACTAAGGTTCTGCTTTCATTTCCTTTTACTCTAATGCTTCTGCCAGACTTCCTCCAGAATCAGTCAATCATATGGCTTGGTCGGCCGAAGTCCCACATAGGTAATACATTGAAAGATAAACAGAAGAATGTCCTTCTCCACATTCAGTGAATCTTTGGCATGACTCCTCTAGTCAGCCATGGTGAATCTCTCCCCACATCCCCAACCCTTTTTGTTTTACACTTTGAGACAGGGCCTTGATAATTTGCTCAGGCAGCCCTTGATTTTGGAATGCTCCTGCCTTAGCCTGTTGAGTAGTTGGGATTACAGGCCTGCACAGGTATTTAGTGTTAAGTTTTTTTAAATAAAAAAAATTTCAAACTTATAAAAATGTATTCAGTTTTTATATTCGTTTTATGTTCCTGACTGTTATAAAGTCTTTGAATATTAGGGACATTATGTCTTACTCATCTGTTGTACTTATGCCGTTGGGCATAGAAATTGATCAGTGAATATTTGCAGGTTGACTAGTGAAAAAATGAATGCAAAAAAGGGAAATAGTTGGAGAAATTAGAGAAGAAAATGAAGATTTGTCTCAAAATGAGTGATTTGCTTCCTTGACAATAGGGGAAATAAATTATGAGAGAGAAGATACATATGAGTAAAAAGAAAATCAAATTTAGGATTTTTGAGCTGTGTGATCTGATTATTTCTGGCTTGACTGGATAGAAGCTAGGTTATGGATTTTTTGTTCTTAAGTGATTTGTATAATGATAGTATATATTTATCCTTTTTTAAGCATATGATTATCAATTGGTTCAGTATTAAAAGGAATCACATATTTAAGTCTACATTATTATCTGAAAATGTATTCATGCTGATTTTTAAAGCTAAATGTATTCTTTTTTCTTTTTTTTGGTACTGGGAATTGAGCTCAGGCAGGCACTGTGCCCACTGAGCTATATCCCTGACCTCTTCTAAATGTATTCTTGATAAGTATGTTTCTCAGATTAATTCATTCTTCTTTGTAGAATTATAATTTAGAGACAGAAGGGACCTGATAGATTATCTAAATTCTTAATTTTTCTCATTAGCTCTTTAGAAAACTGGAACCTAGGAGCCAAATTCTTTTTTTTTTTTTTTTATATTTGCCAAGCTCTGTGCTGTACTTTTTTGTATACTTTATTTCATTTAATTCTCACACCAAGCCCTTCAAGGAGGTAATGTCATCTGCATTTTATAGTTAAGGAAATTGAGATACAGAAAAGTTACATAACGTGTCAAGGTCCCCCAGCCCAGTGATTTGAGGTGCAAGGACTCAGTCAAAAGTGTCTGATTCAAAAAAAAAAAAAAA